CTTCCTGCTCCTTCAATCCAGCCATGCTTATCTGACTCCACTCACCATCTTACTCTTGCATGGTAAGTAGCATATGTTTAAAATCTGTTTTCCCAAATCCTGATAGCCTTACACAGAAATAGTCACTATATGCTTTGTGAAGTAATGAATGAATGACATATATTTGTACATATATATATCACACAGGTATGCCTGAAATATCATCATAACCATAAGAAATGTTACTGTATGAATTCATAATGGAAGAGAAAGAATATTTTATTAATTTAAAACCAGAAGCTGGCTGGCCGCAGGGGCTCATGCCTATAATCCTAGCATTGGGAGGCCAAGGCGGGTGGATCACTTGAGCTCAGAGGTTTGAGATCAGCCTGAGCAAGAGAAAGACCCAGTCTCTAAAAATAGCCAGGCATTGTGACAGTCCTCAGCAATGTGGGAGGCTGAGGAAAGAGAATCTCTTAAGCCCAAGAGTTTGAGGTTGCTGTGAGCTGTGACACTACAGCATTCTACCTGGGGTGACAAAGTGAGACCCTGTCTCAAAATGAATAAATAAATAAATAAATGCCAGCGCCTCGTTTTAATGAAAGGAATCTTGTTGCCTACAGTCAGCAACACAGCTGAGGGGCACACAGGGTGTGGCCGGTGAGACTCAGGCCAAGTGCAGTTTCTGTAAAAAGAATGATTAATATACAGTGTGGACGTAAAGTTGGGGTGCAACTTAAAATCGTTTAACCGTAGCTTGCACACGAACTTTACGTCCACCCTCTATAAAGCTACAAGGCTGCCTCTTCTAAAGACAGGGCATTTTTTTTTTTTCTGCTGAAAGAGTACAACTTAATCTTTGTGTGGTTCATTATGCCCACAGTATTTCTTGTTTATTCACTCATTTATAAACCGTAGCGCAATGTTTTTCTAACTGCAAGTCCTAGGCCATTGGAATCTTGTGAAATCAATTTGGTAGGTTGTAACTGGCATTTTAACAAATAAAAGAAAATTTGAAAAGATTCTATGTCATCCAAGTAGTAAAACCATTTTGTTCACCGTGCATTTTACTTTTGCATATCTCTATCTATACCTGTGTGTGTACTGGGTGTAGGTAAAATGCATTTCTCACTGTGAGTGGATCGTGGTCAGAAAAAAAAATTGAAAGAAACTACTGTGGAGAACAGCTGCTTTTAAAACAGGCTCCAACGTCAGACAAACTGTAAACAAACCCAGGCTCTAAAACAAGTTACCTAACCACTATCAGGTAAAGATAATAATACTTATCCCAAGGGGTAACTAAAGGATTATGTAAATATGTAAAATAATAACTAATATTTATTGTGACTTTATTATATCACAAGTACCATATTCTTTAATCTCCAAACCTAATAAGGTAAGTACTGTGAACCTTATTTTACAAGAGAGACGTGAGATGCTGACTGAGTAAAAATCTGAACGTAAGAGGACATATCTCAGCAATTTGCACATAAAGAAGTGGACACTGCTACTATGTATTACTAGCAGTTATTTCACGAATCCCTACTTTAATGCTGTTCACAAAGCAGGAGGGGTTCCACAAATATTCGTGATAAATTAAACAGTCCTTGAATTCAGAGCACTACTCACAATCAATTAAACAATAAAATGCTCTAGGTGCTTACAGGGGGTAAAAGTTCTTCTGAATTACACTGTTTAACGAAGGCTGAGGGAAAGGAGGGCCTACAGCAAGATCTTCATTGATGAGGAAGGCCCTGTGTAGGTGGAAGGGTATAATATAGGCCTGATCAAGACCTAGGAACAGCAAAACTCTGATATGTAAACTTATAGGAGATTGTACAGAGAGGTCCCTGAGTGCTAACTTACGGGGACTATAGTATATCTTGTAGGCAAAAGGAAATCACTGAAAACTTTTAATAAGTGACTATGATAAAGATGCAATCATTGAAATTGCATAGTATATTTATAGCTATGATTTAATAAAAAAAAAAAAAGAAATTGCATAGTAACCCCCACATAAGTACTGTTTTGTTGATAAAAATCATGTACTTTGACATGAAGGCTAAATTCTATTTTTCCAGTCTTACAGACAGAGAGCCAACTTTGCTTCAAGGGAAATTATGAGAATTAATAAAAACTCTAGGGTTTTCTAAAAACTATATTACAGAAGAAAGTACAAATTATTTTATTATAGTTGACTAATTATCTCGTAAAGTACTTGCCTTTGATGAGACTCTATACATATGAGTTTTATTATGATAATTGCATTTTTTTTCAGATGGTAGTGCTCGAGGATAAGAACAAATATTTGTTCAATATTTTAATTTATTTAAATAATTATGGTGATAATTATGGAGATTAAAAATATTGATTCCAGCCCTTTGCCTAAAAACAATTTCTACTAAGCAAGTTTAACCAAATTGCTATTCTCTATCAGATTTGAGCTTTAATATTTGAATATTTACATTATTACGCACTCTGACACAGAAGCACGAAAGGTGTTATCACCAGCTCTCATATGATAAATTATGTGCTGAATTGTGTTCCCTCCTGGTTTAAATGCTTGCATCCTGCTGCTCTTGAAAATATATGATAGAGGGCATTCTTCCTGTCTGCCTTTGGGGTGCGGGCTTCTCTCATTCCACCCCCACCCCCACACCCCACTCATACACACCCCCCATCTGTCTTCCCCTCCCTCACTCCCTGCTCCTTCTCAGTCTCTCTTCCCCTTCCACCCTTCCCTATATCATAGAAAATACGTAGTAAACAGACACATTAAAATGGACTTAATAAAATAAGAACTTTTAAGTCCTAACAATGAATAAAGCTCTAGAAGTCATACGGCATCTAAAATTCAATCTGATATATTTTAGGTTAAAAAAAATTGAAAAAGTGACCTTCTGAAAATTAAGTCCTTGAGCCCAGGAACAATTCTTGGGGTTCGGAACATCTTCCCAAAACAGCTTTTTCATTCTACAAAGAATAGAAGGCATCAGAACTACAGAAAATCATTCATACTGAATTTTTACATGCTGACAAAGACTTCTACCAAACTTCGAGTAGATGAAAGTTAAGCCCAATAATAATAAAAATAGCCAACATTTATGGAGAACTGTGTGCCAAGCACTGTGCTAAAAGTTAGGTTTTCCCTAACTAGGTTTTCCCATTCTCTAGGAAAATGAAATATTAAAAATGTCCAACAAGAGGGTATCAGAAACAAATCCATTTGACATGGCCCCATCAGCTCACTTTACTCAAATTTAGATTCTAAAATATCCTCTCCTTCTTTTTTGCTAAAAGACAGATCTTGCTACAGAGATTTGGCATGTGTAAAATAACCTCGTTGGTCTCAACTTCTCAGCACAGAGGGATGTGACAATCATAGGACTGTCCAGGGAATTCAAGGCCATTTGCCCCTGAAGCCAGACAGCCTGGAGCCAGTCCTGCCAAGTCTACAGAGCAGAGCGCCCCCTGGTGGTAAGTGAACCACTCCAGGTCGCCAGGAGGAGGCTATTTTCAAAGTCCATTTCACTAAGAAAGACTGGTCCCCAGCGGAAGCACTCCGGAAGCCATTTCTCCACCTCAGAGAATGTATTGCCTAGGGTTTTCTGTTGTAAGCCTCTTATTTCCTAAATATATATTTTAAAAAATTCTTCCTTGAGGTTTACATCACTAGCAAAATGAAATGTCACTTCTTGTAAAACTTCCTGTAACCAGGCCTTTCCTTTTTGTGCTACCTTAACTGCATACTGAATATATATAAAACCACTTAGAATACATTAATACTCCTGATTCAGGTTTTAAATCAAAGCTTTAAATGCTTAAGGTCTTTGCCATAAAGCTTCTGAACATGAAGTACAATACCTTTGGTGTGATACTAACAGTGTTCCAAGCAACAAGATGGAAGAGGAAATAATTATCGGCACAATCACATATAGCCCTGCCTCCCTCTGGTGTTTCTCAGTATCATCTGAAAGAGAAATACAAGCCACACAACTCAGAAGCTTGAGGGAATGTTAATTCCTGTCTATCAAAAATTAAAGTAGACTTTTATCTGTATCACTTTTGAAAACATAAAGATAAAAAGAGGAATATGAAAGTGTGCTATGTTAACAGTGTGCTAACATAATAATCATTATGTTATTCAGTATTATACCTATAAATTAGCAAGACATTTGTTCAGAATTACTTGGTTGGCAGTTCTCTCCATCTGGTTATTTGTAAGTTATAGGACTCAAGGTGTCAATTAAAGTTGTCATGATGACTCTGTCCTGGCACTGGCTTCCAGGGGACACCTGCCAACCTCTGTCCTATTCACTGCAGACACAGAGATGGCCTTGCCATCTTCAGCTACCCAGCACGCTCACTCTGCAAGGCCACAGCCACACTGTCCCTCGGCCTGGACTGCCCTTTGCACCATAAGTTCCGGCTTCACATTGTCCAAGGGTCCTGAGAACCTCAACTTTAAATGAAAGCATGTGTAATGAAACCAGTTGGTTTTTTGTTTGTTTGTTTGTTTGTTTCTCATAAGCATTATCACAACACTACATTTCAGGAAGCAGTGTAACCACGTCATCCTGAAGGGGCCCCTGTACATGCTCCACTTAAAGCAGCAGGTTCTCAGAACCTCCCTCTGGCCCTGAAGTCAGGACTGGTGTGTTTTCAAGGCTTTACTCAGATTTCACCTCCACAGAAAGACCACATCTGGCTGTCTTCACATTTTAACCCACATTTTAACTCTGTCCCTCACCTCACTTTTACTTGCCTTCATGATGCTTGCTTCTGACTGGCATCATATGGCTCATAATTTACTTATTGTCCTTTGCTCCCCGCAGGGCACAGGAGTGTAAGCTGCAGGGAACGGGCTCAGCTCAGTGTCCCAAAACAGCCCTCAGGACAATGCTCCATATGTGTTTGCTGAATTAACACATGAACGAATTGCTTTCTCTATATATTTGTTGAATAATATAAGAACGAATTTTTAAAATCATTTGTACTCTAAAACTAGACAAAATGTATCTCTTTTGAAACTTCATTATTGAGTTGCTTGGATTTGAAGACAATTTTAAAAGTCCTAACAAGATTAAAATGTTGGTACTCCATGTACCTGCAGCAAGATGAATCAGAAATGTGAGGGACCCAGTGAATTTATTTCTGTAACTATCCCTCCAGTTTATTTTTAAAGGAAAAATAATATTTCCTTCAGAATCACCCCATGATACATCTACCTAAGACTCCAGACTCTCCCATAATCCCATCAGAAAGAAGATAAACACATGGTAACAAATTAGGTAACATCCATTTCTGTATAAAATTACATATCGTACCTTGGGTGAAACTACTAATTGTCTTCGGCTTCCCCACTCCTTCCATAAATATCGGGTAAAGACTAAACTGATATTTCTCAATGGGGATAAAATGATCTGAGGAGAAGCACATATAAAAGGCTCATTTATACTTAATTAATATTAGTGAGAGAAACATGTCTAAAAAAAGAATGAAAGTGACCATCCCATATTTCCAAACACAGAACACAGTGGTTATTTACAGATTGAACTAATGATTAAGGGAGTTTCAAAAAGGACATCAGCAAATTCTCTTGTAATGACAGTAATTTTCCAAATAAGGTTTAAAAGACTTTACCCAGAAATAGAAGATTTGCAGTTTTTTCAGAGGCATGTTCCGGGGATGTGTGAGCTGTTTCTACCCGTCAAGTCCTGTCCCAGGACAGGATGCCCTGCCCTCTCTCTCTTACACACTAAGCAGTCACATTCCCTTTACGTAGGAATGTAGCTTACTTAGTTTCCCTGTTCAAGGTAGCTGAGAGACCCAAGTCTCATGAAAGTCTAGGCAGAGAAGCCCAGGAGTCCACTGCATGGTCTGGGCACAGGTCCACAGGGAAGGACCATCCCATAACACAGCTCCATATGGGTCTACCAATGACTTTGACAAATGCTAATAATATTTATCATTCCACTAGAATAGAAGAAGACAAATCTCTTTGAAACCTACAGTTTATATCCCTGTGGTTCAAAGAAAAAATGTAGAGAGTAATCACCTTGGCAGCAGTGGCAATGAACTAGACTTAGTTCTCCAGCAATAATTTGTTAATAAATTTATCCTGATACTACATTCTAGGTCTCTTGAATTAAATGAAAGCAAGAGTCCTTGAGATGACAGTGATGACCACGGCAAGCCAGAGCTTCCCTGTTACTTCCCTCAATGCTTATGGACTGAGAGATGGTCATTGCAGCTTGGGCTTACTTGCCTCCTGGGATAACTGGTCTACCTTTAGAAGCCTACGCTGGCCTTGGCCCAGGCCCTAA